CCCGAGTCTGAAAATAGCAGGTTATTTGGCAAAAACGAGCTGATGAAGACGGGCCAAGTGGGCAAGTGGGAACAAAGCCTGCTCCTTGGTGTAGCATTCCATGTGCGGGTGAACCATCGAGACCCCAATTGTCCCCATGGCTTTGAGCTATGTTCTTTAGGTGACAACCAAACGACCCCATGCATATATTACCTCGCTTGCAATAATAATATCTCTGACTTTCAACATAGGTCGAGTAAGGGATCGGGTAAGAAGCTCCCCATCTCTTGTATTTTTCTCACTTTACAAGGGGGGGGGGGTGGGGGGGGGGGGGTGAATGGGAGGGGAAGATTAGACAAGTGACTCCGTGCATATTGCTTGGAGTAATAATTTCCATGACTTTGAACATGAATTGATTGGGGAACGCTGTAAAAGAGAAACGCTGTAATAGAGAACCAGCCTCATATTGTACAGTTCTCACTTTTTTGAAAGGGGCAGTCGAGGAAACTCTTATTTGCGTATTGCTTGGAAAAATAATTTCAGTGACTTTTGACATAGATTGACATGAGTAAGGGGTATAGTGTATAAGACAATCTGTTCCATACTGTACAATTCTCACTCTTCTAGAGATGTGGGAGGGGGAGGGGGCGAGTGACCCATGTGTATATATTCCCTCACTTTGAAATATAATTTCTCTGACTTTCAACATCACCATCTTCTGAATGACCCCATGCCTATACTCTGTCTAGGAATTTGTATTAAACCTTTTAAGGTATGTGTTAACCAAACCCTTCAGAGAAGATTATTATTTGGTATTTCTTTGCACATTATAAAATATGACGTTTTTAGTTCTCAGAAAGATAAAATCCTTTGAGCCAAAAAAATATACCAATTGATGGAATATGTGATGTAATGAAGAAGGCTTACAATGGAGAGGAATTGAGAAAGAGAATAATCTTTGAAACTGAATATCATTGTCATTACATATTTACATGTATACCAACCAGGAGCTTGATTACAACAAAATACCCGCACAAAGAAAATTGATTATGCAATAATCTGAAAAGTCAAATCTATTGCAAATGAGACTTGGAGATTAGAAGTCCCAGGTATTATTTGATTTTGTGGCAACTTGAATAGGATGGTCACTAGATTTTCATCAGTTATTTGTTTTAGGACTACTTCCCTTGAAATTCCTTAGACATTTGTGTGTCATTCGGATAAATCTGATGATATTCAGGAATGTTTTATTTAGATTTAGATTGGCTGTTTGCACATGAAGTGTATTGAAAGGGCATCTGGAGTGCTGATTGGTAGAGCTAAGGAATGTAATTTTGTTATTAGAACCCAATATATTTCTAATGGCATTTTGTGATGGTATACAAAACAGTAGAAATAATGTACATGTATGTAATCCTTTCATTAATTTGATTCCACAAATGTTTACAATTTACACGTCTTTGGAATGGCCCTTGATATTTTTCACTTTATAAGATTCAATCATGCTAGTACCCTTCTGCATAATTTTATTTGATATGTATATAATAAAGAAGAAATAAATTAAGTTTATTGCATTATTGCATTACAACTGCAATTTTATTACAATTTATAACATATATCCCTTTTATGAATATTCATGAGTATTATGAATGCATGATTGGTTAATTGGTGGTCACGTGATAAAATATAATTTAACTATGAAAAACAAATTTCTGCAAGAGCTCCAAAAAGTAATCTTTGAAGCCTTCAATGGTAAGGATACAAACTTGAGCGAGGATTGCGGTAACACCACGTTTTCTTTCGACAGGGTTAAATGGCCCTGAAAATGAGGGCCCACTCATGCCCTATCTCTGAGTTTCGATTACAATTCCAATTTTATTACAACTAAATAACAATGAAAAGATTTCAATGTTGCAGGTATCATATGAAACAGTCCGACTTCATTATCAATAGGGTCCTACCCTGACAAAAGGAAGATAAGAATGAATTTGCGTAACCTTTACTTGGACATCAAATTACCTGTAATGTTGGTTTAAAGATAAGGGGAATGGTTACCCAAGATAGCAGGGGGCTATGATACAGTAGTTTTTTTGCTAATACTGCAGCGAGTGTCGTCTGAAACATATATTTACTGAAGGAACGAGCATGTCTAATTTGCTATTGATTGTTATCATAACCTCTTAAAGGGATTGGGTATATTTTTCTCAGATTCTAAACAAAATCCTAGATTTAGCTCATGCTGCAATCATAATTTTAAACCTGTAGGTCAGTCAAGAATCCCATGACTTTTACGAGCCGATCGCCTGTCTGATTATCAAGATATTTAAGATTGGAAATCAAAATTTCATTTTTTGTTTTCCTAACGGTTTTTATAACACACTGGGGAAAACGGGTATGGTAAAACCAGTCATCGCTAAAAGATTTAAACTTTTTTGAGGCACTTCATGATCATTTTGAAGCGCAATTTTTTTAGGGCTTCAATATTACACCATATTACAGACACTGATAACACGTACTATGACGAAGGGCCATGCTTCTCAGATTTGTAAAACTAGAAACATTGTTAAACAATGCCTTTAAATGCTGTCTGCTCAAGTGACAATAATGTCAATTATTTTAACAAGTAATTCCCACCTCTAACTGCTGAAGTGTAACTTTATGCACCAAATAACCAAAGATGCACCTGACAAAACAGGGTGCATTTGACTCGTGATGACCCCACCCGTGCACCCCTCTACCAATATAAATATCAATAGGGTGTACCGACTGTCACCCCTCGCTACTCCAGCCCATATATTTCATTGAGCCCTATCTAATGGACAGGTGTGCATATTGAAATGATAAAGTCTGTCTTTTAAACTACTTTTATAAACTATCCAGCTATAAATTGGAATTTGGGCATGGCCAAGTTGCACCTCTACCCTCTACCACCCCTATTTTCAAGCAGGCACCCATGCTACCTGTCAACCCCAATCCAATACCCCTCTTTTACTCCCTTGTTGGTATCTAGTTGTATCCCTATTCATTTTTTGACACGTCTATTGTCTATAGTGTACCCCCCAATGCCTTCTTGCACCTTTATAAACCATCCAGCTATACGCTTGAAAAAAGGGGTGTGGCCAAGTGACACCCCTACCCTATATAAACCTTCTTCTATACCAGGCACCCTTGCTACCTGTCAACCTCAACTGAATACCCCTCTTTTACTCTTTTGTTGGTATCTAGCTGTATCCCTATTCATTTTTTGACACCTCTATCTGCTATAGTGTACCCCCCCCCTTTGCCTTCTTGCACCTTTAATAAACTATCCAGCAATACACCTGAAAAATGGGCACGGCCAAGTGACACCCCTACCCTATACAACCCCTTCTTCTACCAGGCACACATGCTACCAGTCAACCCCAATCAAATACCCCTCTTTTACTCTTTTGTTGGTATCTTGCTATATCCATACTCATGTTTTGACACCTCTATTGGCTATAGTATACCCCCTTTGCCTTTTTGCACCTTTATAAACTATCCAGCTATACACCTGGAGAAAGGGGCGTGACTCAGCGTCACCCCCTATCCTATACCACCGCTTTTTTCGACCAGGCACCCATGCTACCAGTCAAACCCAATCAAATACCCCTCTTTTACTCTTTTGTTTGTATCTAGCTGTATCCCTATTCATTTTTTGACACCTCTATCTGCTATAGTGTACCCCCCTTTGCCTTATTGCACCTTTAATAAACTATCCAGCGATACACCTGAAAAAGGGGCACGGCCAAGTGACACCCCTACCCTATACAACCCCTTCTTCTACCAGGCACCCATGCTACCAGTCACCCCATGTTGAATACCCTTCTTTCATTCCCCTGTCGGCATTCAGCTGTATCCCTACTCATTTTTTTTCTCCCTCACGCAGAGGTTTGTGTTCCATTCAAGTCCATTCATTCTCTTGTTGTAAAGTTGCGTGACAGACATTACTCCACGCTCCATGGACTTGTCAAAAAGAAAGACTGCCCTCTTCCCTCTGACACACAAACTTTAGCAAGTCTTGTAAATCAGACCCATTTAACGTCCGCTTACAGACACAATTAACATTATTAACACAATTCCTAGTATTTTTTCAGTATTTTCCTTGGATTTTGTGGTAGATAAAGAAATATTGTAATCATTGCCTGATAATTGATTGATATCCTTTAAAATGTGATTGCAATATTAATTCACAAATGTGATCAGTTCCATAACAAGGTTTGTTAGAGTAGACTATGCTGTGGAACCAGGGGTTTAGTTTGGTGCCAAAACTTTTTTGGGACTACACCGCACAGTGCAGTGGAGTGAAGAGGGTGTTGGACAGAAGAGAAGGGAAGAGGGAGAGCAGGAGAGAAGAAGCACTGAAATCCATAAACACAAAAGTGGATTTTTATTCTCAAATAACTGTAACCGATGGTTTCCTGTCATAAACTCAGGTCTCCAAACTTTGGTTGCAAGCAAGGATACAGTAGGAGGAAACCCCATTTGATGATTTCAGGTCTCTTTGCGTCTCTCCTTGGCGGCAACAGTTAATGGCTTGGTGCCTAGCGTAACATTCATTGATACATTTATCAGTAAAAGAGGATTAAGATACATACCTCAGGCTCAGACTGGCCTACCCTTTGGAATGCTGGCCAGGAAGCTCCCAGGTTCCGTCCAGATCTCGAGCTCAAAGTCAAGTTGGTGAACCGAAACCTTCTGGATTTCCCTGGATTATCCCTGTCAGTTTGCATTTTCTGATCCAGGAAAGCCTCACGATAGATACATTCTTGTTTTGTCATCTGCTTCTCCAAAGGAATTTCTTAACGCTGCTGGTCTGTCCATTTGATACCAGTGTTATGAGCACGCAACGTGTGACTGCTCTGCAATAATTGCACCAGTGTTGATTTCTTCGTCAAAGGATTAAGAAGATATCTGATTTAAAAAAAATAAGGATTAACCAGCCATGGATCAGAATTCTCGTCCGATGTCCTACTACATGATTTTGTTTGTTTTCTATACAGTCGTTTTGGGTACCACTACGCCTTTCGTCGAAACGCAGACACCCATCCCGACGTTCGTACCGCAATGCGATGTAGCGCGGGAATTCTTCTGCACGTACTACGGGACGTGCATGTCGCTTAACCTTCGCTGCGATGGCGTCTTGCACTGCCCCTCTCCCTCTGAAGAAGCCGACTGCCAGCCGAGATGCCGCTACGACCAGCAGACGTGCCCCGATGGAAGTTGCCTGGACGCCTACCAGATCTGCGATGGGTACAATGATTGCAGCGACGGTTCAGACGAACTAGGATGCTGTAAGTACCAAAGATATTCCTATTTTCTTCTTTATCCCGTTACACCCAAGATAGTACCGTGAAATTAAAACGAATATAGTCACAACGTCGCAACCATCGTGCTTAGTATGATTTAACAGTTTTGTTGCCGATAGATAATAGGACGCTCCTTTTCACACCCCGTCGTTGATAGCCATTTTTGTTGCATATGTTGTAACAGCATTGTTTGCAGCTAGCAACTTTGTCCAGTTCATTGCATTAAACACTTAGCTGTACATGTACTCCAAAAACACAAATTGATTGATTTCTAATCTTCATTTATACACACGCAAGCATTTCTTATTAGATTTGTAAGGCCGCTTTCTGTCAATACAAGTATCGTTTGAGAATGAAGCAAATGTTTGGTTTGCAATCATACATATGCATGAAAATTGCGCCCTGTTTTTAGCACAAAACCTTATGATCCTGCAATGTATTTACAGCCAGGATATTTGGCTCTTCTGTTTCATAATCTTGAATACAATAATGATGCATGTATTTTTTCTGTTTATGCTCCATGAAGCTAATGCAATTATGCATTGAAAAACATTTTATTTTTTTATTTTATCGAATTGATTTGAAAAGACACGCAAAATAGTACATGCATCTAAAGTATATCGTTTGTCATAATATGAATCATGTATATAATATACTTTTGTTTGTATTTCTGTTTGTATGCAATTGTTAATTTGATGTTTTCCTTGTTTGAATATAATTTGTTTTGCTGAATAACAATATTGTTATTTTATGTATGTTTTAACATCTTTGCAAATCCTAATTAACCAGCAATTTATTACGCAGAATTTTGCCTTGCTATAATGCTTTGTCGGGCAGTTGATTGTTATACTAATTGGTTATTCACTAATGCTTGATGTACATGAGTTTGCTATAATATTTTGACATTCAGTATCTAGTTATGAGTTAGTTAAATCGCAGGAAACTATTATAAAACAGTTATTCTCTTTAAAATAAGCAGACTACTTGGTTCGATGATCTACATTTCTAAACCACTCTAGTGGTCCAATGAAGATGAAAATGGGTTTGGTTGAATAAACTTCAAAGCAGATATACATGTGATACCCAAGAAAGAGTTAAAGATAAAGACCAGTATTGGAAATGCCCCAATTTCAAAAAATGAAATGGAAGCTCTCATTACCAATCATGTGAAAGAATATGTTTTGACTAATACATGATGATAACAAATTTGCCGGGAAACCGCCTACTAATTCATATATTTGGTAAATTTGTTTCTCTCATGGTCTGTGAGAGATATAGGGTAGTCCCATATACATCTTTCTGTGTATAGTGCTTGTAACTTTACGAAGAATGGGCCAAATTTCTTATCATTTTGATGATTCCAGAACCTTGCAGATGCTAGATGCTAGATGATCAACCTTTTCTGATCGATTCCACAACATTTCTTTGACAATGCAATCGCATGACCATAACTGGTCTTTACCTTTAAAGCATTTTTTGTATAGTCTGCCAATATTGAATAAAGAGTTCTTTCTAGAGCAACTTTTTAGGATATACAGTGTATCTTTCTCCTCCTAAAGTGACTGTCCCTTTAATTTAATAGGATGCCTGCATGAGGCAATAAGATTTGATAGAAGGTTACATACCTGAGTTCAATCCATTCATCAAACAGACACAATGTTCTTATCACATTAATGGTTAAAGGGAACTGTGTTAATGTTGAGAGGGTATCTCATCATAACGTAAACGGTGCCATATTAATGTTCAGAAGGTACCTTGTTAGGGCTCAACGGGCACCGCATTAATGATGAAATGGTACCTCATCAATATTTAAATGACACCACATCAATGCTCAGAGGGTACCTCATCAATATTTAAAGAATGGCATAGTAAATGCTTAGAAGGTACAGGGTTCCACTTCATGCTTTTAAAAGGGCCACTTTAAGTCAAATCTATTTAATTAGGGCCTACATTCTGGCATGCTGGAATAAAAATTCATTTTGAAAGACCACTTTGATGCCAACCCATTGACGTAAATGGGGGAAAAGGGCGAATGATGTGCCTCTTTTCATTTATAGGCACTATCCTTTGTATTTTTAGGGCACTTTGCAAAAATAGTCCTCAGCCCCCACCTTTTTTTTCCTTCTCACTTACACAATCACCTGCCTTTTTAGCATACTTATGTTGTAATGGCTATGCTGACTTGTTACACAAAGGTGTCTACTTAATGTACCGTATGATCTTTAAGACTGGGCAAAAAGTCAAGAAACTACCAATTACCCTGATCCAAAATTACTTTAATACCAAATGATGCATGTGAAATGGTGCTAATGGGTATTTTTATTTGCTTTGTGTATTGTTTGGGGCTAGTTTGGCTGTCATAACTACTTCTAATATGAAGTGATGCATGTAATTATTTATGCATGTCGCTATCTGTTCATGTGTCTAACATGTTAGGTTTGTTGTATGGCTTTTACTGCTTGCAGTTTGCATGATTTTGTTCGCTTGAACTTTGAAGGAGATGAAACAGTTTTGCACCCACTCACTCATTCTTATCTTACTTTTATGTTTCTCCCCTTTTGCTTGGTTTAAATGGTTAACTTTGAAAGTGCCACCAAGATTACAAACGTGTAAAAAAAAAATTTAAAAAATGAGAATTCTATGAGCGATGATGAATTATAATCCCTTATAAAAATTGTTTTCAATGTGAATATTATTCCATGATATGCGACAAGAAAAAGTATCTTTTTTGGGGTCCAAAAATGAAATGTATCAAATGAAAATCAGGCGGTTTAATTTGATCTAACTTTGGATTAAACCGCCTGTGGCATGGAAAAGTTCAATGAAATAAACATGATGTGAGGCTATCGATCATCAAGCCTTGGCTTTAACTGGCGTGATTCCCTGGAAATGTTCCTTTTCAATCTTAATGAATGTTCATGTCAAAGTTTTTCATTATGAATTCTAAGTTATGAAATATTAGCTAATGTGTTTAGTGGTGAAAAAAGGGAGATAGATTTAGTCCTAAAAAGTTTCTTTTGAGCCCAATTGTTTGCACTATCTTTCAGGGTCTTGAGGTGGGTGATATATGTACGTGTACCCTTAACAGGCAATAAAGGAATCTTTTGTGTGTACAAATGTCAAATGTAGCCCATAAAGAACTGTGAAATGCCTAGAATCTGTCTGTGTGGAGGAATTTGTGCAGACAGTTTCATGGTTCCAGAATTTATATTTTGGAATGTACCGGATAGCAAAGAAATGGATAGATAATGCTCAAAATTGTCATGTACCATATTCCAGATGGACATTTTGCAAGAGACTTCAAAGATTAAACAAGTGATATGTATCCTGTTCTTAATTCCCTCTTTTTTGGAAAAATAATGTAATGCTGTGGAATGCTGCTTTCCAAGATGCCATACTTGAGATTCACAAATATCACCAGAGAGTTTTCTACTTTCTATCTCTTTTCTCTCCTCCATTTTTGTAGCATCGACCCCTTTTTCACGATTTAGTCAACAATAAAGAGAGGGAGAAGAAAGAAAAAAAAAAACGCTTGTTCATTATGACTTCATGACCAAAATGGATCTGCCTTTTAGTAACTTTTTGCAAATTCAGCCACAAAAAATATGGAGAAATTTGTATTTGCAGTTTCATTCATATTTTTTTGTAAAAATGGACCCGGTGTGATTTTGTCTGGAGGTGCGGATCGGACGGAAGGTTAAGATAACAGAAAACATTGCAGGTGCAAAAATCTGCTCAATAGATTGATGAAAGAAAACATGCACCGGCCATATCATCTGCATATATTTGACACTCCGGTCTCTATATCAATGTTATCCTTGAAGCGTATGAGTTTTTAGCATGATGAGGACTTCCCATCGTTGAGCCTAATTTGGGAAATGTCTGTGTTGCTTGTGTAAACATGGTGAATCTTCCTGTTTTCGTCAAAATGAGCTCTGCCGGACGATAATGAAAATACCCCAGAGTTTATAGTCACAGCAGTTCCACACGCACAAGATGTTTTGAATGTACACCTTCACAGATATTGTTTGAATCAATAATTATTGTAAGAATTGTCAAAAGTCTATTTTGACCTCTGAAAACTGCATTGCATGATGTTTTTAATTACTCATCAAAATGATTGATTTGATATTAAAAACAGGGGGAGTTATGAACAAGTACTGCCTATGTGCCCTCCAATATAACCCATAGCTTTTATTAAACTTCCAAAGACACTCAGAAGTTTTAAGCGTGCGCACCTTCCTACCATTACTCATTTTCAAACACCTGGGTCAAGAGAGACAGTTACAGATTAAATGCCTCATTTATTGAGAGCTTACTCCTGGCAAGGTTTCAAATTCTCAACATCTTGATTCAAAGTGAAGCGAATGAGCCACCTTATCATGGTGAACATTCCCCCTTCAATATGGGGGAGATGTACAAGTTCAAAATTAGTTTCCTGACTTTTCAGTGATCCTTTTTGCCTGTTCAGATGCAGGACAACCTTACCTTTGTTTAAGTAGGTGGGTTGAAGCTCGTCTGGCACCAAACAAACATTTTAATGGATTCGAAGTTATAATGATACAAAAGGAGTTCATCCATTTTAAGTTAAGGTTAAAAACTGATAAATTTTAATTCCTTAATCGGCGTGAAGAATACCAAATATTGAGAAGTCAATTATATCTATAGTTCAACATGATAATATTGAGAAGTCAATTATATCTATAGTTCAACATGATAATATTGTTTATCAACCATCTCCAAACCCTTTTATCAGAGCTTTTTAAAATAGAGTATTTACTGAAAATATATCAAAAAAATGCAAAGAAAAGCTAAACACTCCAGCTTTTGGTAATTGTTGCATGAACATTTTATGACCTTTTCTAGATGTTAGGAAGTAAAGATCAAAGAGGCCGATAATTATCCTGAAAAGGGAAGGCATTAGTGCTGTTGATAATTATCTGCAATTATATGATTGAATAGCCTTGTATATAATTTTTGCTGTT